GAAATAAACACGTGCACAACAAATTCAAAATTACACGGTACTTAAAATTTAAAGTCCCAATAAAGATGATTATGTATTCGGTATTGTTATAATACGTGGTACCGATTTCTTTCTTATTGATATTAATAGTACAGAGTCAGCCATACTACCCATGCAAGCATTTGAAAATGGATGTTGCGCAAATCGAGTAAAAATGAATCGTCTAAGTATTGTATATGCGCGTATTAGTCGCGCTGATTTGTGGTGGCAAACAGAGTTAGCATGTTGTTCACCAAATCCAAATAAAAAATATAATAAATCAAACATATTCGGTGTCATTGAAGACGGTTATCTTATAATATGCTCATTGAAGTTGTGTTTAAAATTGCGAAATACATCATTAATATCGAGATTAACAAAAATCGTTAAAGGTTTCCAGATAATACCATCTGTGAACGGTTTTATATGGTATACGACAACGTCAACAAATTCATTGATTGTTGTTAAAAATATTCTACTGAACATGAAACAATAGATAATGTTGATGAATTATGTTATGAATATAATTCATGGACACTTTACGTAAACAAGATGAAACGCTAAACATTCATCAAAAAACTTATCATTCGAAAATAACACAAAATCTTCATCTAAGTAGAAATAATAATGAAAAAGTGGAATTAGATAAAAGTCAATCTAAAATGATTGTAATGAGTGAAAAGCAACCTGAGAATGATTCAGAATCAGTGGATGTGGATGATAGTATGAATCAAAGAACAATCAGTGACGAAAATAACGATCACTGAAAACGAATGAGTGATATCATTGTAAACAAATGACTTTTTCTTGGTGAACAAACTTATTTATTTACAAAACCTTTCATTGTTGTACAATTTTATTTTTTTATGTTTGTAAATTTCATAGATGAATACAAAAATGTCGTTATTTAAAATGAAAACTCAGGATGTCGAAATAGGACACCACTTAGTAGAACAACTAAACATCGAAAAGATCTCTCGAAGAAAAAATACGAAACAAGTGAAATAAGAGAAAAAATAGTGATAACAATATACACCAAAAATGATTGAGTGTTTTCTCATAATCAGATCCATTCAATACCACGTAAATATTTCGGCACTTTGTCCAGCACGATTGGCATGATTTTTAACTGTAATATACGATATAAGACCACGTACGAAAAGGAAAAACCCTAGAACAATGAATAAAACGTGCTGAGAAAGATTAAAAGCTAAAATAAAAATATACACCATTTACCAGCAAATAAAACAATTGCAAAAACAAAATTTTGCGCCGGATCTCGAATACCATTTTTAAAATCGTGATATGTCACAGCAGTACTAGAGTGAAAAGTATAAGTCAATATGATATATACATGTTTCAAATAGACAACGGCATGTAACCGTACATCCATTTTGCCATTGAAAGACCAAAACCGCTCATGGCTCCAAAACGGGCTGAAATTGTTGGTACGAGACAGATAACAGCCAAAAATCCGATCCAATTAAAGAAAAAACTCACTAAAAAGAGAAAAATGCAACATAGTGTAATATTGATTTTCCGTATTCTGCGCACAGACAGACAGACCACACAGTAAAACTTGACATCAGAAGAGTGGAGGGCTGCGCTAATTCATTTAGAAAAGTAGATAAACAAGGTAACGCTCGTCTCCACTCGCTCGGTCCCTTGACTTTATTAAGTTGGATCTGCGCAAGCGAAGGCCCTTTGGTGACTTATAAATCGAACACAATGCTCACGCCTCCCTTCGGTCGGCACAACGATAAAAGGATATAATCATACCATTTTGTGAAAATTTTTGATTTAATGCATTAAGTTTGTCACCTGACACTATCTAAAATTAAAACCATAAAAATATAAAATGACAGTAGATAAAATTTATCTGATTTATCGAAGAGTTTCGATGAATCTCTATTTTACATCCAAAAACTGACGTCAAATACTGCCAGCATAAGCGACCATGCAAATCAAAAATAAAAATAAAAAGTTTTTTTCGATAACAATTAAATGTTTGTTTATTTGTGAAACTGGATTAGACACAATCGAAAAGAGAGAAAATAGCATGAAAACAAGAACTTGCTCAAATGACGAAGAGAAAACATCTTATTTATGTTTTTCGTTTTAAGTCAATTTTGAAAAAATGTTCCGATGCGCTACGGTCCAGTTTTAAAAAAACACGTACCAATCCCACCTCCGTTGTTTCTAGACTTCAGCGGTAACAAAAAAATTCCATCACCTTACCATTACCATGGGAACCCAGGTCAAATAATCGTATTAAGATCATACAAGATCTTACAGATTATGAGATATCGTACGATTCTTACTGTAAGATCGTTTAAAATCTGATGAATTTCTTACTGTAAGATTTTGCATGATTCTTAATCTCAGATGCTAGTGGAAATCTTACAAGATTCGTTTAATAGAAATCTTACTATAGGAATCTTATAAGACCTTATAAGATCGGCCTGTAAGATTTTTCCTAGAAATTCCAAAAATTTTTAAAGAAAATCTGTCTTTGTCTACTGATCAGATAAACAGTAAATCTTGAGCTGATCTTCATATTTTCCAAGAAACAGGATAGGCTGTACTTTTCTTTGTAACAGAAACGCAAAAAAATTTATTTTCAGTTCTTTCCACGTGAACATTTATCGACAGATAAATTTATAGACAGATGCATATTTAGTCTATATAGTCCATACTTTGTATAAGCTATACGGCAGACATGCGTGTGATTGAAGAATTATTTTCATTATTGTCATTTTAGAACGACATACAAAAAAGTGTTCGTTATATACAGGCACTTCTTATTTTCTTTACATGGAGTACAGGCTACTTCTATACTCAAACTTATTGCAGTTTGTATCTGCAATTTTTGACTTTTCAAGGTAGAAGTACATAAAAAAAGTAATTAATTCACAGAAGAAGTGCACGGTAGTTCAGTGAGTAAGGGAGTAAAGAGACATAAATCCTTGCCAC